TCCATATGACTAGTTGAGAGGAGATGTCTCTAAATTTGCACATTTCTCATTTCACATGATTGCCCTACAAACATGTTGGGTAACCAGGCAAAGGCACAAAGATGGAAGAGTGTCACGTATGAAGTACAGAAAACAGGGCAGTTTGGCTGAAACAGAGAGTGCTACGATTGGTGGGGGTAGGGTAGTGGCAGTGTCCAGTGAAGCTGGAAAGTTAGATGAGCTCTAACTTATGTAGAGTTTTAAAAGATGTAAAGAGGAATTTATATTTATCCTGAAGTCAAAAAGAAGACAGTAGCATTTATTGAGTGAGAGATCCACATGGTCACATCTGTACTTAAGGAAAATTGCAGGTAAAATAAGGTGAGAACCATTTTCCTAAGAATGTAAAGCAAATCACGAAGGCAAAAGCCTCAAATTCTCAGGCAGTAGGAGGAATGATAGAGAGCATGACCTTGTATCATTCAGTACATGTATACAAGCTAACAACACAGCCTAATTTCATGCTATATGATATCTACAAAAAAGAATGCCATCCTTATTAGTGAATAGCATTAAAATAATAACAACTTTTTTAGTGAGAATGTTCCTTAAAAAACATTAGAATTTCAGTAATCTCAAGGTCATCTTCATGGGTATGAATCATTCTCTACCTAATTCGTAGCAAGGACTGGTCTTAGGTACCAAAGTGCTTCTTACTGAATTACCTGACTTCTTTCCTCACACTCATTGCTCATTCCATACCCTCTTTAAAAAAAATCCCAAAAGAATCCGTCAGATTTAGGTTCTTCCAGAAGAGTTCAGTTCATTGCACTGTAACAAAAGAGAACTTTCAGTAAAGTGTAATGTGGAAATGGAAAATGTCTTTCTCTCTATGTCCCTGAAGTGCGCTCTTAATGTACTCCATGGTGAAAAGTCTTCCTTAACCTCTCTTTGCATTTGTTGTGAGGTAACTGGTGGAATTTGATTGTTAATAATTCTTTGTTTTAGGTTATTTCACCTGACAACTCAAGTTAGTAACAACTCCCTCTCAGGACTTGAAAGCTTGCTCATCCATATAACAGTGTCTAATGAGTAAACAATGCATAGCTAAAAGCAAAGTGTAGCTCAACAGAAATACTCACTTTGGGGTGGTGTTTGCTACTCTTATGGAAATAATTTCTGATTTTCTAGATTATATTCTTTTGAATAGTACTTGTCTATAATTAGTATTTTAAAATATAATCATTTCATAATCAGGAAATACTATAAAATAGGTGGCCTTGCCATGGCATTGTGGTAATAAAAGTTCTTATGTTGGTATTGTGTGTGTCATTCGATGCTATTACAATAGGTTGGATTCATGAGCCTAGAGGCTGCTATTAGCAGCAAATAATCAAATGGGTTATTTGCTCTGTCTTTCTCTGCTGGTGATTCCTGTCACTCCTGCCAAGTGGACAGTACATTTATCTGGGGCAGCATCCTTCTGAGATTTGTGCTCTAATGTGTGATCTGTAGTACCACATAATATCTTGGTAAAGGATCTTTTGCTTTCCAGCCATGTAGAGTGAATAGGTTTCTGTAATTGCTCCAGAAAGAATGGGCTTAGTTAAAACTTAATTAAAATAATTTTGCACAATACTACTTTAGTGGATGTGTTCTCATCCATGCGTTTATTGCCTCAAAGTAATTGTAATTAATTGTAATCTGTTCATGTGTTTTTATTTTGTACAATTTTCATCTATGCTTTTACATAAATAATCATGTGATGATGATGATGGTGATGGTGATGGGAGCCAACAGTCCGCAACTTATCATGGCATGGAAGCAATGCTGGATTATTGAAAGCTATATCAGTGGGCCACAAACTCTGGAACATTCTTCTATGCTAGAGGGCAGCAGATTGAGTCTGCTCTTCAAGGACCAACCTAGCTAAGTTTGGACAGGTTCATCACCAGTAGGCTGAACATTAGGTAATGAGTTAATTAACCAAATCAATTGGTGAAACAAAAAAAAGTACAAAATGATCTTCAGCCCTGTGTAATCTTGCTGCACTTCTGCAGGTATTATAGTGAAATAATGGAAAAGACAGCAAAGGATATTCAGATTTGTACAATTTGAGGGTCTTCTGTAAATAACATCTCTCTCAATATGAAATTTGTGTCCATTGAACAGTGGATTGGAGGATTTTAGAGGAGCTGAACTAAATCAATATTTATATTTTTATAATAAAAAATATCGCAAAGATGAAGGGAAGTTACAGCTAAGTGGTAGGACATCATATAGATTCTCTTTGGAGAGGCAAAAATAGGCATTGGCAGTAGTTAATTTCATCATTGCAGTAAGATAGTCAAGGCTGCCCATCCAACTTGTGAATCACAGAACACTTCCTGTTCTGAAATCATCTATGGTCATTTGTTCTTTAGTATAAATGAAAGGAACCAACTTGCCTGGGTGTCTCACTATGGAGTTAGTGAGTATAGGCCTACCCCTATCTGCATTTAGTCTAAATGCCACCTGAAATGCAGTAGCCAACATATCCCTAGACTAGGATTATGAAGGATGATTTCACCCACAAAAGACATTAACCAAATTCTATGGTCTCTAGTACCTTCTATTAACACTTGAATGCCACTTGGTTGATTGCTGATAAAGAAGTCTTTGTTATTTAATATACTATGGAGCAGCTAGGTGGTACAGTGAACAGAGAGCCAGATTCAGCCTCAGACACTTACTAGCTGTGTGACCCTGGGCAAGTCACTTAACCCTGTTTGCCTCAGTTTCCTCATCTTTAAAATGAGCTAGAGAAGGAAATGGCCAATCACTCTAGTATCTTTGCCAAGAAAACTCCAAGTGGGATCATAACGAGTCAGACACTACTGAAACAACTGAACAACAACAACATATTATGTGGAGCCCTCTTTTTCAGGGAGTTGAGGCATAAGGAAAGCTTCAAGGTTGCTGTAGTAATCATGTAAAGAAAGCTAATAAGGAATATGATCACATAAGATTCTTGAACTTTTTGTCGTCGGAATGCTCATGCTTAGTATTAGCAAAGATTGTCATGAAGATAATCATAGCCAATGCATCTGTGTTTTTGTTTCAAGAATTTAAGAAATTTTGCAAATCAAGTTGAACATATATTTTACTACCTGGTGACTTCAATGCAAAAGTAAATAAAAAGGAGAATATCAGTATCAGCAAGGTTACAATTCCACTGAAGAATTAAAATGGTGTCGATAGCTGCCACTTCCCTGGTACATTAAGGTTTAAAGATATTTTCCTCAAAATATCCCATTGAGGTAGATAGTATGAAAATGATTCTGTCCATTTTACAGATGAAGACACTTACTAGCTTGGGCTGACATGCTGAAGGCCACACCTCTAGTGAATATCTGAGCTTCATTGCTGCTGACTGACTCTATTTCCCATTTCCTGGCTGTGGTGTACTGGCTATCTTAATCTTGTTTTCTGATTGTTGGCTCTGGTTATCCTGGTGGATACCTTTCATTTACCTGAAAACATCTTCCTCAGGACAGCGCCTATTTTTATTAATTTTTTTAACCCCAATGCTTAGCACAGAGCAGGGACTGAATAAATGCTGGTTGAATTAAATTGAATTGAAGTGAACAGGTTTGCCACAGGGTTGAAATCTGGTTTCCTGAATCGGTGATCAGGGTGTGTTACCCTGCACTGCCCTTTCACAGTAACTTTAAACATTGTTTGCTTTGTCTTCTCCCTCAGAATTCTGTCTTCTTGTGCGTGGTATCTGGACTGATAGAACCTAATCCTAACCTGAACTCCTTGTATGGCAGAAATATTCTAGGAATACATATTGACCTTATATAGATCAAAAATAATTGTCAGGATCATAATAAGTGAGACATTCACACTTGAATTTTATGATTTCCCTCCTCTAAAAATATAACTACATATCATAGGTACCACGTAGTTCTGGAATATCTTATTTAATATGGCTCAAGCTCCCATCCGACAGATACTCTAGCAATAGAGCAGGAATTATAAGCTGACTAGCAAAGCAAATGAGACAGGAAAATTCCTCCCATGCAGCTAGAGTCTCCCATAAATTCCCATGACGTTTGTGGAAGAGGGTACACTATCTGGACAGTTCATTGTCCCAGGATACTGTGCCCTCCGGACTCACGTTATGAATAGAAACCTTATTTGCTCCATCTCCCAGTAACTGGCTGTTCCTCATTTCTTTTCCACCCAGCTTCTATAGCTGCTATTTCTTTTTGCATACACTTTTGCTACTTGTTACTCCCCTGCTTTTGTTCTTCTATAAGAAAATTATTTTCTTATTTTCTTCTGTATAACTATCTTCATGAGTATGGTGATTCCCCCTACCAATGAACAACTTATTTTTAGTTATTATCTTAGACAGTTACTTCAGGGCACTGAGAGATTAAGTGATACCTTTATATGGGATCCCATAGCTACTATGCCAGGGATAGGTCATCATGACTTTTCTGCCTCCAAGGCCAGTGCACCATCTTCTGCTACACCTTTCCTTGGCTCATTCTATGGGAATGCCATAACTCTTTGTTGGTATTGCTCTGCCAATGTGACTAGGGCTAAGCAATGCGTTATTAGTTAAGCTCATCGTTACAACAGGTTGACCTGAAAAAGAGTTCCCTAAGTCAATAACCTTTTTTTCAATCATACCTCTGTCTGCCCTACTCAGGAAGAATCTACCACCCTCCCACACGTTGTGATGAGTAAGTTCAGTTCCCATCATGCCTTTGCCCCCTGACATGTAAATAACCTTGAAGCTTTCCTTATGCCTCGTGGAGTCACTTATTGTAGCAACACCAGATGTGGCAACCTATGCTCTCCTTTCTACCTCAATCCCAAGTTTCTATCTCTTTTATGACTAGAATGATATGATGGGTTGCTTAAGTATGCTCTAAGGCAAGAATAGGCAAAAAAAATGAGGTGAGATTTAAAAAAAGTAAAGATAGACAAAATGTGTTGTTCTGTTAACTGATCCAAATTTTACTTACTTCTGGTCTCTCTTGTATTCTCTCAGGAAATCCTTTGATATTCAAAAATCTCTGGTTGAGGCTTGTCCAAGCCAGCAAGCTGCTGGTATCAGACTGAAAGGCCTTCCAGCCACTTCTTTCCTGCTTTGTTAATTGAGCTATTGCTTTCTAATTACCTACATAGGAAGCAAGCCTGCTCCAGGAGGCTTCTTCCACTCAGCTTTTGCTACTGCTTGGATTGTTTCTCTCTAGCCTGGCTTTCCCAGGGGAACTTGGCTTTCTGCTCTTACACTGTGAGAACAGACGGACCCCTGGAACCCTGAATAGCTAATTAGCGGTGAAAAGAATTCTTTAACTAAACCCTGAGTTATGCAGGTTCCACCTGCTAGCCACAGCAATTTTAACAGCTGATTCTTGAAGAAAATAACTTTTCTTAAAGGGACAATCTTTTTCCCCCTTCACTGTTTTAACTATGTTTTGGACAAAAGTTTTGCAGATTATAGAGTACAGAGCAAGAAAGGAATTTAGGTAACATCTATTCCAAAGCCTTTGTTTTTGAAAAAATAGTAAGCATTTTCTGGTATGATCTTTGCTTATGTACTGGTATTTATTGAAATTATTTTATCAATCTTTCATTGAAATCCTACCCAAATCTAAGTCTTTCCGCACTCCAATCCATCCTTTCAACTGTCAGACTAATTGTATAAAAACTCACGTCCTACTTTTTCACTTCCTCATTCGCTAAATCCCAGTGGCCCCCTATTACCACCAGGATCAAATATAAAATCCACTGTTTGGCTTTCAAAGTCTTTCTCAACCTGGCCCTTTGCTACCTTCCCAGTCATCTTACACTTTATTGACCCTTATGCACTTAAAGATCCAGTGACATTGGCCTCCTTACTGTTCCTCCAATAGGATATTTCATCTCCTGACTCTGGGGATTTTCACAGGCTGTCCCCATACTTAGAACACTGTCCCTCTTCGTGTCTGCTTCTTAGCTTCTCAGAGTTCCTTCAAGTATTAGCTAGTCTTTCTTAAGACAATAATCCTTTCCCACTCCTTAATCTTAGTGCCTTTCCTCTGAGACTACCCCAAATCATATATTTTGCTTGTGTATAGTTACTTGTATCTCTCATTAGACTGTGAGCTCCTTGACAACAGGGACTTTTGTTTTTCTTTGTTTGCCTTTCTTTGTAATCTGCATTGCTCAGCACAGTGCCAGCAGTAGTAGGCACTTAATAAAATGCTAGTCAATGGACTATTCTGATGCTTCATTGTTACATGGAGTTGACTGTGTGTTCTCAAAGAATAGGATATCAGAACACAGGCAGCTCCTACCAAGCTGACAAGTTTTTAAGTATGGGCCCAGCAACAGGATTATATATCTATTGTATGAGGACTCAACCAGCTAAGTTTCAAGGGTCCCATTACCAGGTGGGTTGCAAGGTCATGATTTTTTGGATACAACAATTCTTAAAAGCACCCGACAAAATAATAAAGTCTTGTTATGTCAGTGGAGATGAGGGGAGAATGGGAGTATTAATTCTCATACTGATAATTTCTTGATAAGCTCAATGATTCCTTGAAGTACTAAAGTATCACTTCACTGCCATCTCCTCACCAGCTTCTTTGATCCCTAGACTAGCCACCATGGACCAAAGGACTTAAGCTTTTCATCTCTGAACTCCCACCCTGGGGTCCTGCTATCCTGACTGGTGAGTGCCTCTGATGTCCCATTACATCAGGCCAGACTAGGAGTGAATTTTACTTTCCAGCTGTCTTTTCACCTACTATCTTGTCCACTGGATGCTTGCCCTAGAAGCTGCCCTCTTCAACCCCTTCCTAGTCTTGGAGCCAACAGCAAATCAATATTGTCATTGGTACTGGAAAGGATGAGTCAGTCAGTCACTTAGCATTTATTAAACTCCTACTATCTGCTAAGTACTAAGCCTACAAAGAAAGACAAAAATAGTTGCTGCTCTTAAGGAGATCATAGTCTAATACGGAGCCAGTCTATCCCTCTATTACTTCATCACCATTCCTGTACATTTTAAACCAACATACTATGTCTTCTATATAGCATTCTATTTCAATTTTATCTCAACATACTATTTCTTCCATATAACATTCCTTTTTAATGGTTGTCTCTCCCTAGTATATAACTTCTTCAGAGCAAGGATTGTCTTCAGTTTTGTTTTTGTTTCTGTAGCACTCGGTACATTATAAATAATACATTTTTTTGGCATTCATTCATATACTTACATGGGTCTTACTTCATTGATAAGAAGGTTTAGTCGTTAAATGTCTATTCCTTTAAGATTCTTTCCCAAGTATAATCCCTTTATGTTACAGAGGTAGAGCCAGAATTCAAGTTCAGGTCCTTTGATGCCAAATCCAACAGTCTTCCCATTTGTTGCTGCTTCCAGTAAGTGCCTCATGAGCCATAAACTGCATACTAATAGAACTTCGTTTTATGTAGAATATTATGATTTCCAAAATGTTGTTCTCAATATAGCCTTTTGAAGTAATTGATAGAAGCATCTTAATCACCATTTTAAAGATGAGAAATTATAGGTCCGGAGTGGTTACTTGCCTAAAGTCATGCATTTTTGAATGTCAGAGCCAGAGCTCTATCTTTTGAAGATGACCCATTTAAATTCTAGTTATCTTAGTATGCGTCTCTGTTCCTGATACATAACATGCAGAAAAAAAAGAAATTCATCTAGTTATTTGTTTAATGTCCTGGAACACTTGAATGGTGCTTAGGCGTTCTGGTTAAAATAATGCAGATTATAAGAGCTCATTATGTCATCCTACAGAGAGTAGGTTCACGGGAAAAGCAGATCAATTCTACTAAAGACCAGATTAGAAAAAAATGACTACTCCATTTAAACTTTCATATTCTCCAACCTCTAGTCTGAAAGCATTCACTTCTATATACTCTCATTGAAGTTAATGCTGGGTTTTGCACACTAATCTTCATCATGTGTGGTATCTCATATGCCAGTACCATGAAAACTGAATGGAAGGGCATTATCACTAAGGGAGCTAGATAAAAGCATTAATCCCTTTTACATTTAAGGTGCAGGAAGACCAATTCAAGCAGTTCTATTGGTCCATGGATTCATCTGCTGGCACATTTCCACCTCATTTTGTGTGAGAAGAGATAGAAAACTTCATTGCATCAAAATCAATTTTATGCATTATTAGATTCACATACAAACATACACAGATTATCTATCAGTTGAATCTGTCTCTTCAAATCTATACACATAAATATAGATATATGAGAGATGCAAAGAAACAGAAGATACAGGGGAGAGAGAGGGGGTAAGGAGGGGAAAGGTAAAAGAGGAGGGAAGAGGGAGAGACAGACAGACAACTAGAGGCAGAGCTTAGGGTCAGAATGACTTGGGTTCAAATCTTGCCTCTACCGCACAGTCCTTATGTGTAACTGTGGGCTGTAGTCACTTAACTTCAGACAGTAAGCTACAGATGAATTGCTGAGTTGGCATTGATAGTGGGAGTTTCCATACCAGAATACTGACCTTCTTGGTTTCCTTTAAGTCCCAACTAAAATTCCACCATCTATAGGAAGGAAGCCTTGCCTAACCCCTCTTATTTCCAGTGCTTTACCTCTTTTAATTATTTGCCATTTATCGGTATATTGCTTGCTTTCTACATGTTTATTTGCATGGTGTCTCCTTCATTATATTGTAAATTCTTTGAGGGCAGGGCCTGTCTATTGCCTCTTTTTGTATCCCTAGCACCTTTAAAAGAATAATTTTTTTACCTCTTACCATTTGCCTATCAGACAGTTGAAAAAAATATTTTTTTTTAGGCAATTGGGGTTAAGCGACTTGCCCAGGGTCACACAGGTAGTAAGCGTCAAGTGTTTGGTCTGAGACCAGATTTGAACTCAGGTCTTCCCGAATTCAGGGCCGGTGCTCTATCGACTGACCCCTTACAGTTGAAAAATATTGATGGGGTGCATAACAATACTTGGACAATGACACAACATTGTCCCATTCAAGGGCATTACTTTAATAATAGAGACAAGATCAATGGCCTGGAACTTCAGGAAGGACCAAAGAACAGCAATAGGGAGGGTGGTCTGTGGATTATAAAACTGGGGAATGAACAGGATGAGTTGAATTTTGAGCTTCAATATAAAGAAAGGGATATCTGTGGCTATAATTCACTTCATCTTTGTATTGAATTTAAAATTGTAGTTAATGGTAAAATGTTATTATTGTTAAAGCAAGTACCAAATAACATTAAGAAATGAATTGATTATATTCTGACAGAAAACAACTATTTACCAAAATTGGAACCATTTTAAAATCAACTATTTACAAGCAGACATTAGCTGTTTAGAGCAATAAAAAAAATGAGTAACAAATGAGAAAACACATACATATATACACACATACACATAGAGTATTAAGGTAACTCTAACTTACGTGATTTAAATAAGCTCTTGATGCCAAAAACATGAAATGGATAAAAGAATAGATGTCAACACAGATTTTCACCATTTCTGAACACATTTTGGCCCATATAAACCATAAGGAGAAGATCAAAGGACCCTAGAAACTGCCTTCTTCAGCAAGCACTTGATCTCATGTCCAATCTGAGAGCTATGGCACCCAAGCTTAACTGCAATTTATAAAGCATGCTATTTTATGAAATACCGTGAAGGATGATAGTGGAAGATTATGAGCATGATCATGTTACACAACATGGAAAGATAGTGGTAGAAAAACAAGGTTAAGAAAAGTTTTTTAAAAGACCTAATTAAGGCAAACATTCAGAGAATCCCCGTAAAAAACTGTACACATGTATCAAGGACATCCTTAACAAACGCATGATTAGAAGACAGGTTTTTGTAAACTATGTTCTATGGCAGATCATATTTTTATAGGGTTTTTTTGGCTAATTGAAACATGTAGAAAAAAGTCCTCTGTGATTGTTTTTTGACATGTGTGTACATATGCATGTGTGTATATTTATATATGCATATGTGTGTATATATACACACATATACATATTCACATATATGTATGTGAATGTATATATACACATAGATTTAATACAGCATAATTCTATCTTAAAAGAATCCCTCAATCAAAGTGTCTCTCAAGCCTATATTAAAATTATTAAAGATTCCTTTCATTTTTTTGTCCCTTTTTGGAGAATGCCTCAATTTCATCTGGTCTCCTGAGGAAGAATCCCCTAAATTTCAGTCAGG